TTTATAGATCACTTGCCCTCACATGTGAGGGAAATAGTTTTGTGTGTTAATTAGGTTTTTGTTTTGTAGAGGAGGGTTGTCAGAGGCTCAGAGAATGGTCTTTTGTTTTTTGGTTGTTATTTTTGTTGTTTTTCATTTTCTTTTGTTCTGTTCTGATGTTCTTTTTTTCAAATGACATGTCCATATTATTAGGAATGTGCTGTGATGAGGAAAATATATATTTAGTTTTGTGTGCCTTTCCAGGGACTATATGACTAATTGGTTGCCAATATTGATACTTATAGATAGTATGACGTTTCCCTTTTTCTTTTTTCCCTTACCTCCATCTATCTGCTGGCTTGTTTTTAAGGATTACTACAATTCCTTGCACATTTTTGTAAAACTTGCCTTTGACTATGTCTGTAAAAGCACATTGTACAATTTTTTGAAAACCTTAAATAAACATGTTTAAAAAAAAAACATATTGTGGTAATTTGCACGTTAAATCAAAACGCTATTTGTCTAGATAATATATCTGTAGACTCTCCGTTTGACTCGTGTACGATAATTTTCCCTCAAATACGATAATTTTAAGGTTCTGGTATGATACTTTGACATTTCCATTCTGGCAACACTGAGTTGTATTCTCCGTGCTGTAGTCTTACAGACTTGCATTTGCAACAGGTCGCTACCCAGAGCAGCAGGCAGCTAGATTGCTGCTTGTGTGAATGGGGTTTGAGTCTTTAATAAACTGACCGCCTGCGTTCATTGAAAAGTAAAATTGATTAATAAATCCAAATGAAACAGTCCCTTAAAAAGTGACGTTGTGTTTTCAGATTCGAGCTAAGGCATGCTTGCACTTACAATACAAGCGTACCGCAGCAAAGCCCAACCAAACCGCGCTCTTGCACACTTCTCTCCACCAGGGCAGACCAACTGAACTGTGCCTGAGCCCGATTCGGAGCACTTGTCAAATGGACAGGGAAATGCGCCCGAGCACAGTTTGGACAGCCTAGAGTGAGTGCGCCCTTAGTGTCACTTTAAGCTGAATACTAGGATCTTAAATAGTATAGTGAAATATTATTTACTGTCATCATGGCAAAGATAAAAATAAAAATAAAAATCAGTTACTAGAAATGAGTTATTAAAACTATTATGATGAGAAATGTGTTAAAAAAAAAAACTTCTTTCCGATAAACAGAAATGGGGGGGATATACAGGGGGGCTAATAATTCTGACTTCAATGCACACTAATTTATAGATGGCTTAAATACTTACATATTGATACTAACTACCTCCCAAAAAGAGTCGTTTGTGTTTCAGATTGACTTTAAAGGCTCTGCTCCACTGAGCTGCAACTATCTGTGCATGTCTGAGAAAGACAGCTGAAGTTTTTCAAGAGTCTGTGTCAAGACGGCATCAAAGAGCAGATAAAAGACAGGAGGATCAAGCTGAGGTGCAAGAGCAGCTCACAGCTCTCTCTCTCACACACACACACAAGGGCTCAAGGGGATTCGCTTTATCTCTTCTCCAACTCATACACACACAGCAAAGAAAGAGCTGATATGCTTCAAGACTGACAGACACCAAATGACTAGGGTTACCTTCAAACTTTGGAAAATATCTCGATGAAAAGTGATGAAAGCGTGAGCAAGAGATAATATTGCTACCATTTAAAAAAGTTTTATATTACGTTTGAAAGAAAATCTAATTTATACTTGACAGGACAACAGTTCCACTGCTTAAAAGAGTGTCACCCTTTTTTTGGTAATTATTTTGATTATTTATTTATTATTTAATCCATTTAAATACACTCACTGGCAACTTTAGTAGGTAACTGTCTTAATCCTTCTTGGCATAGATTCAACAAGGTACTGGAAATATTCCTCAGAGATTTCGGTGCATATTGACATGATAGCATCATGCAGTTGCTGCAGATTTGTCGGCTGCACATCCATGATGTGAATCTCTCATTCAGGCAAACCTCAAAAGTGCTCTATTGGATTGAGATCTGGTGACTGTGAAGGCCATTTGAGTACAGTGAACTCATTATCATGTTCAAGAAATGATTCGCCCTTAGTGACATGGCAAGTTATCCTGCTGGAAGTAGCCATCAGAGGTCGTAAAGGGATGAACATGGTCAGCAACAATACTCAGGTAGGCTTTGCTGTTGACACAATGCTCAATTGGTACTAATGGGCTATCAACTCGAACCAGTCAGGCCATTCTCCTCTGACCTCTGGCATCAACAAGGCATTTGCAACCACAGAACGGTCGCTCTTGGGATATTTTCTCTTTTTTGGGCAACTTTCTGTAAACCCTAGAAATGGTTGTGCGTGAAAATCCCAGTAGATCAGCAGTTTCTGAAATACCAGCCCGTCTGGCACCAACAACCATGCCCACTTATATACATAGTCACTTAAATCACCTTTCTTCTTCTTTCTGATGCCTAGTTTGAACTGCAGCAGATCGTCTTGACACATGCATAGAGTTGCTGCCGCTGTTGGACTCCTACAAAACATTAAATAAATGAAAACTCCAGGAGGTTTGTGCAGCTCACTTGGACTTCAAGTCTCACCCACTTGAAGGTGACCAGCCCATTTGGAGCTTGCTCCGACCTCGGTTCCTAAGCGTTCACCTTAAAGTATCTAATAATTGGCAACCGGACACAAAAATATCTGAATACAGCCTTTATGATGTAGGCTGTGACTGCTCAGTGATGCAATGTCAGACACAATAGAGCTAGTGCCGTCAGAAATAGGGTTAAGTGAGCCCATAAAAGCATTGCATGCAAGTCAGATTGCATCTGCACCAAGTATGCAGCCAGACCCCTCTTACAGACATGCCACGGAGACTTTTAGTAAGTGAAGTGAATTTTTAGTGAGTAAACTTTTGCATAAAGTCTTGCAGTATATATTTTGTAGAGCGTTGAATAGAAATGTTATATTTCTGAAGATTTTCTAAATGTATATTTGCTAAGCAAAACAAGCCCCTAGCAACTGCATACAGCATTATCCGGGAAAACATTTAGAACAGAACAGCACCACTAAACACAACTTCAGGAAAAGAAATAGTTGTTGGAATTACATTTGATGCATAATTAATACACTCTAAAAATATTAATTAAAACAGTCCTAAAGTTCCATGATTTCCATGCACTGAAGACCCAGGCAATGATTTATAAAGAAGCATCCGAGAGCAGGAAGAGTCTGGCTGATCCAAAAATAAGAGAGCTAAAATATGACGCGCAGAGTAGGCTGTTAATTGCCCTGCTATAAATACACAGCGCCTCCTTTCCGTCTATAAGACACAAAGTCCTCGTCGGCCGCGCTCTCGGTGCATTTACCGGTGTGAACGTGGATCAGCCGCGCGCGCGCGATGCTGCGGAGCGGCGCGCGCGCCATATGGAACATGACGTCATCGACGGCGGAGAAACGCCCCGCGCTCTGGATCTGGAGTCAAAACACGCGAGCTTATCTCAGACTGTCTGAAACTCCTACAGCTCTGTTCAGTTTCACCCTTCCTCGGCACTTTTTGTTGCGTATTTACTTTGGGAGAAAAAAGTAACTTCATACAGCTGTTGTATTTGAACTGCGCAACAAGTGTTTGCTTGCATTGTTTGTGTGTCAACAACTGCGCGAGGCTGAGCGTGAACGCGGATTTGACGTTCTTACTTGAACTTGACGCTCATGTTCTTGAACTCCGTCTGCGATTTTATGGTCATGCGTCTGAATGACGTCGCGGGATGAGCGTTGCGTTTTAAGGGCGGTGTGTCTGTTTGGCTGCTGTGCGCTTTATGGATGCAGACTATGGATGCTAAACGTGCAAAAGTCGAGAAAATAAGCATTTTCAATTGCTCCTTATGAGAATCACATTTAATACATTATAAAGCATAGGGTAAATATGCATGCACAAATGCACATACAAACAAACTCACAAACAGATATGCTACATAATTACACACACAAATCCCAGCAAGCATTTAATGTTTTTAAAAGATGTCCAACAGACATCTAAACATAGTCGTCTTGGCTAAAACAAGGCTAAATTTGGGCTGTCAGTGAAAATCTAATAGACGTCTTAGAATTGGCCAAAACTAGATTAGTCATCAAATAAACAGAAATAAATGACTACACATAAAGTCTGTCTTACGTATCTGACTAGTCTAGTTTTGGGCTATTCTATGGTTTCTATTCGATTTTCACTGACAGCCCAAGTTTTAGCAAAGCTGTCTACATTTAGATGTCTATTAGACGTCAATTAAACACAACATTGTTTGCTGGGACATAGGCTACACAGAATTAATAAGAAAATATCTTCTTTTTTTATTAACTCACCATTTAAATAAACATTAAATAAAATGTATTGCATATTTCATTTTTCTAGAATTAAGATCTTAGAATTAATATCACACTTAAATAAATGGTATTATTATGTTTAAAATCTTGTATACGTGTGCTTGTGTGTATAAAACAGACAATAACACTATTGTGACAACTGTTATTTAACTGTAAATAGTTTTTTTTCACTTATCATAAATCACTTTTTTGTATACAAAGTGCATGCAATGTGTTTTAACTTAATAAGTAACTTTTTATAGAAGGATAAAAGTCAAATAAACAATACAAAAACAGAAATTTGCATAATGAAAATATCAATACATTACAATATTTTTAATTATTGATGGAATTTAAAAACATATTTTCACTTTAAACTTAATTGAATACGACAGTGTTTAAAATCTGCTAATATTTATGCAAGTTAATCAGTTACATCTGCAATCTGTTAGTACTGTTATCTTTATTGCGTCCTGTTTCATGCCATGCCACAGATATCATCTTTCAAAGGAATTAAACGGCTCTGCTCACGTGACTCCAGCAATACAAGCGTTCTCCTAAAAGTTACCAACTTGCATTAAAAACTCTTTTTAGACTCTACAAACTCCAGAAGTTACAAAAAAACATGCTTGTTTGCCCTGAAAAAGAAAGCAATTCACCAGGAGTGGGATGCTGGATGCTTACTTGAAAGTGAGGATGCAGAGCGGACGGTAGGATTTGTGGCTGGTGTTATCAGCCATCCGTTTGCCCCAAAAGTCATTGGTGAAGATGCTCCGGAGGCTGGAGCCCGGTTTGACATCTGGATTATTGGTGATCGCCCATATATCATCATGAACGAACTCGCCCCAGAGAGAGTTACTGTAGCAGAGCGCGCACACTGCCACCAGCGCGGCGTACCGGAGCAGCCGGACTCCCGCTCCCGGCCTCGGCAGCACGCAGAGCCGCCGCCGCACAGGGGAAGGAGCGCTTTTGGTCCCTCGGTTGTTTGCTGTCATGTCGGTCCCCGTCTCGCATGCTGCTCGCGGGAGCGAAGGAGAGGAGATGTGTCCCGTTCCATAGCCCGTGTGCTGCGCTGGAGCCCGGGCAGCGGATCAGGTCTGAATGCGTAATATCAGCGAGTGTGGCTGTGTATAAGGTGTTGAAATCTATGCAACCCGCCTACCAGCGCATGCGCAGAACATTCTGAGAGAGAGATGAAAATGAAGAGAAATGAGCTGTGTGAGAAAGAGGGAATAAAAAACAGATGGAAAGAGAAACAAATGGAAACGAGTGGGGAGGATAGAAAATATTATGATATTATTGTTATAAATATTTAACTTTACTATTATTATTAGTTTTAATGGTTCAATAGTTTTATAATCTATTTACTAACATGAACAAACTATCAGTAAAACATCTATGATGGTGTTTATTCATGTTTGTTAATGCTAGTTAATGTTATTGAAGTTAAATAACGTTAGTTCATGTTAACTCACAGTGCACTAAATGTTAACAAACACCACTGCAGATTTTATTAGTGCATTAATGTTGAACTATGATTAATAAATGCTTTACAAGACTATTCATACTTAGTGTTAATAGAATAAGAAATGTTAGGACATTGTAATAAATAATTAATTATTTCACTTTTTATACTAGTGTTTACCTTATATTTGGGTTAACCACAACCAGTAAGTTGTTGGGAATAAAACTAAAGAGCATTAATAGTGTATACAAAGAAAGAGTAAATAAGGCTAACATGATTTTCAATGATAAGAGGCATCCTTTATCATACACCTTCCAATTGTTACCATCGAGTTGTCGATATTGTGTTCTCAGATGTGTAAAAAAATAGGAGAAAATGATAATTTATAACTCAAGCAGTTTAGTTTTTAATTACTCCTCTCCCAGTAGCAGTTGATGGCCAGTAAACCATATATTCATTTAGAGTAGTGGTACCATGTTTTTATACGATTTATTTATATATAAATGCCAAATGTGGACTGTCAGATGTCTCAGGCTGTGCACTGCAAATGAAATTTCTTTATGGGGACAAATAAACATAACTAACTAACTAACTAACTAACTAACTAACTAACTAACTAACTAACTAACTAACTAACTAACTAACTAACTAACTAACTAACTAACTAACTAACTACTTCTAAACAAATAAATGACTGAAGAAAATTCTGTACTCTCAAACGCCAAAAACCAAAGGGACAGAAGTGAAATTAAGCGACAAGCAGTTTACTGAAAAAAGGCAAACATTTCTGTTTGGCATTGATCAGTCAACACTTGACCGAAACATTTGCATTATTTCAGCAAACTAGAAATAATCTCTTAATCTTGCTGGTGTCCTTTTGGTTTTTGTTGTTTGAGAGTGTGCAGACTTTTCTTCCATCGCTTCATTCTTTTGGGATTTTTTGGTCTACGCACCTATTGGCCCATTTTTGAAGGCACAATAAGTTTTTGGTTGTTTTATTTACCTTAATCATCTGCAATATAAATTTATATACTGTAATAGAAACCATTTTTTTATCATGGAGAAAACAAATATGACTACAGTAAAATATGTTTCATTAGTAATTTACCTGTCTAGTTTGCAGTTGTTTATTATTGTTATTCTGCTAAATATTAATGATCAAACATTAAGGGCTCTATTTTAACAATCCAGGTGCAAAGTCTAATGCGCATGGTGCAAAAGCACTAAGGGCGTGTCCGAATCTACTTTTGCCATGGTCTAACAGGGTTGAGCTTATTCTCTTAATTATAAAAGCATTCAAGTATCATCTCAAAACACATCCATAACTCATTAAGATGAGTTATAGGTGTGTTTTGAAAAGAAACCAATCAGAGTCTCATCTCCCATTCCCTTTAAGAGTCCGTTGTGTCGTGCCATGTCGCTTTTGCCATTTATATGGCGGACTTTGTAAGTGTAATAACTGAACGCTTCAATAGTTAGAAAAGCATGTACAGCTCAAGGAAAAACAACAAGCCTTCTCCAATCGGCCTTTCACTTTCTCTTTCTCTCTTTTGTGGATAAGGAAACGTTGTATGCACTCCCCTGAAGACATCATTAGCCTATATAAGTGATTTCGTTTGTGAAGCGCAAAGATTTGTTTCATAACTATTTCTAAATTCAGTTCTAATTTCCAGCAAACTAATAAATTAACAATAACAATGAAGTGTGGTCAAAAAAAGTTATATCCAAACACACGTCCTATGCCTCATATGGTCCAAAACAGACAGGTGGACAAATCTAAGCTTATTTTAAATAAAACAAATATTAATATGCATATAATAAATGATACTGCTAATAAGAATAACATTATACAGAAGCAAGTTGTTGTACATAAACTAAAAAAAAAAAAAGCCCCCCGAGATGAAGGCATGGAGGCAGTGGTTTTCATATTTATAGAAAACCAAAAAAAAAAAGTAATATTTTATCCCTTTAATTCTCTTATATTTGTAAAGATATTTGTGTATTGCTGTACATCCTGTGTATATTAAGCAATGTGTAAGCGAGGCGCACAACTAACTCGCTCTGCGCTGGAGTTTAGACCTGCTTTCAGCTTTAAACCTGCTTTCATGCTTCTTTAGTCTATTTTAATTCCTCGAAATAGCAAATAGCCAACAATATGCCTTTACAAACCTCTTTTCTAGACTGAAACACCCATGAGTCCACAAAATGGATTTGCTACTTGGTGAAAAACAGAAAAATTAGGATTGCGCTAGTCTGAAAATAGCAACACGTCAGGGCACACACGTCTATGCTAGTAATGTTACTAGCTAATTTACCAGTAAAAGTTGGTTTGCAGGTATTAGTTGATACCAAATTTAAATGATGTGATTTAAATATCTAAATAATAATAATCACATACAATAGCTGATAATAGCCAAAAGAACAATAGCAAAATATAGCTCATGGCAATTTAATATAATAGTCAACCACTTTGGTGCTGTTAACATTAATGGTGAAATTTGAAGAATATGTGCCATATTTGTTGTCAAAATAATCAACAATTCATCCTATATGTCATTTGTTAAACGTAATTAATATATACAAAGTTATAAAACAAATAAAAAATATATTATGCTTCATATTCCAATTTAAATTTTGTATAAACTGTAGTAAACAAATATACATTAAACTAAATGTCAAAACAAGAACCTGAAAGTTCCTTACACTGTTCATAAGAATTTCCACAATGTGTTGTGGTTACAGTGAAATATTTTGGCAGAAACCATGACTACCAAGGTGACATTTTGGAGGAGAGAAAGCGAGAGATAAATGCAAATTATGGAGTGCATGAGCGCGAGCGCAGGCTGGAAATCAATAAAGAGCTGTGGGATATTTCACACAATGATTGCTCTGCCTTGACCGTGACCTGCGCTTCCACACACAACCAGTCGTGAGCAAATTGGACTTGCTAATGGAACAGGAAGACGGGGATAATGAATCATTATGATAAACGCACTTTTAAAGATACGGTGATGGCTGAACATCTGGCTAAACATGATTCGTCTTTTATGCGAGAAATGTTCAAATGGCCCTTCTGGGGGGCTGTTTAAAGACATCTGGAGGCTCCCTGTGGTCAGCTCACGCTCACATCCAGACTGAACAGCACAACTGACAACTGCTGATGCTGCATTTCTGCATTCTGCAACTATTTTCATGACAATCGAGCACTTTTAAATCCTCCTCAGCCACTGTCTGTGGTGTAGCAACAGCAAAACCTGAGAAAGAATACATTTTATTATTTAAATGATTTCATGTATATTCTTGCAAGGTGCACATGATAAATAATTAAATGTTTAACAAATATTATAATACTGAGCAATACTGATCTATCGTATCCACCTATGTATCTAGCTATCCATCCATCCACATTTCTATCTATACATCCATCCTTCCACGCATCCATACTGTATCCATACATCCATCGATTTATTCATGCATCTATCCATTTTTTCATCCATCTAGCCATCCACCAATCCATCTATCTATCTATATATCCATCTATCCATCCATCTTTGTATCTATCAATCCATCTTTGCATCTTTCCATCCACCTATGCATCTATCCATCCGTTTTTCCATCCACAAATCTATTCATCCATCCATCCATCATCCACCAATCCATCCATCCATGCATTATCTAAACCATGCATCTATCCATCCCACTATGTATATATCCATCCATCCATCCATCCATCATCCACCAATCCATTCATTTATCCAACCATCCATCTGTTTATCCATCCTCCCATGCATTATCTAAACCAGGGGAGGGTAAACTTGGTCCTGGAGGGCCGCTGTCCTGCACAGTTTAGCTTCAACTCTAATCAAACACACCTGATCATAGATTTCTAATGATCTTGAAGACACTGATTAGCATGTTCAGGTGTGTTTAATTAGTGTTAGAGCTAAACTGTGCAGGACAGCGGCCCTCCAGGACAGAGTTTGCCCACACCTGATCTAAACCATGCATCTATCTGTCCATCTATGAATCTTTTCATCCACCTATGTATCTATGCATCCATCTATCCATCCACCAATCCATACATCCATCATCCACCAATCCATCCGTCCATCAATTTATATATTCATCTATTCATCCATTTATATATCTATCCATCCATTTATCCATCCATCCATCTATCCACCCATTTGTCCATCTGTCCATTTAACCATCCATCCATCCTTCTATGTATCCATTTATCCATAAATCCATTGATTTATCCATCCATCCGTCCATCCATCTAAATAGTTTTAATAAATTTATAATAACTACTTACTTTGGCAAGTTATTTTGCTAGATACCAAAATTCAGCTTAAAGTGCAATTTAAAGGCTTAATTGGGTTAATTAGGAAAGTCACTGGACAATAGTTTTTTTTTCGTAGCCAATTGAAAAAAAATTCCAGGGCTAATAATTTTGACCTAAAAAAAAGATTATATATATATATTGCTTAATCGTGTTTTAATTCCAGCTAAACTAAATAAAAAAAGGTAGGAAATTCTGTGGAAATGTCCTTGCTCTGTTAAACATCACTTGGGAAATACTTGGGGCTAATATTTTTGCCTTCAGCTGTGAAATATGCTAAAGATTCAGCACAGAAAATATACGACCAGATGATAATATGACTGCATAATCACATTAAAAACCAGTGAAAAGCAC